CCTTAATGCTTTTGTACTGAAACAAAATAGTTTGTGCTATACATTATTACAATAATAACAATAATATATAATAACAGTATGACAATATAATGACATTTATATTTTAATGGAGTCTACTGAATCAAAAATCAGGCCACATATTTGTATAAAATACGTTTGCGTTATACTTTTTGACAATGATATTGTTAATTGAAAGGCACCTTTTCTCAATTGTTAAGATCTAACCCTACTTCAAAACATCTCCCTCATATTAATGTGATTATTTAACAGCATTGTGTACATGGAGCCCCCGGTGGTGTATTTGGTTAAGCCCTTGTGCCAGTAGGACTGCTGTCCAAAAGGTCGGTGGTTCAAATCCGGGAAGTGGGGTGAGCTCCTATCTGTCAGTTACAGCTTCTCATGTGGGGACATGAGGGAAGCCTCCTACAGGATGGTAAAACATCTGGGCGTTCCCTGAGCAAGGCCCTTGCAGACAGTCAATTCTTGGAATGTATCCCCCTTTAAGAAAGCAGTGTAAGTATGCCTGTGTATTGAAAATGATCCTAACATCCAGCTAAATACATATTATTTAGAACCCTTTTAAAAGGGTTCTAAATAAAAGATTAAGCTTCATATCAAATACCTGAATGCTGCAACCTTGTGTGCTCCTGATTATAAATGCAGCTAAGTTATTCCTTATATCAGAGCTTTCCAAATGGATCCAAGTATAAAAATCACAGGTGAACAATGCTTTTTAAAATCTGGTCCTCATTCTTCTCCCACTCCAACTTCTCCAGCAGCAAGAAGTGTACACTGAAGCCCCTTTCACTCAGCTGAATAAAATCCCACATTTTCAGCATTGAACTGGAATATATGGCATATAAATGGACTCAGATAGCACAGTTCAAAGGAGATATTCTGGATTATATGGCTGTGTGGAAGGGCCCCGAAATTATTGCTCCAGATGTCTCTGTTTCATGATGGAGAGGCTGTGGCAACAGAGGTACCTTAAAGCATTTTTGGCTAGATTAGATACCCGAATGAAATTCTGAAAGGAGGTTGTGTAGGTATATGCTAATGGAACCAATTAAAAAATCAAGTGGTATAGTGCTTTATTTCTACTATCTACGTTTCAGGGTGAAAATGCAAACTTGCACCAAAAGGAAGCAATATTCTTTTAGAGAAGAGCTTTCCAAACTCTGGGCCCTTCCATACAGCCATATAACCCAGAATATCAAGGCAGAAAATCCCATGTTATTTGAGTGTGGACTCAGATAACCCAGTTCAAAGCAGATATTCTGGGATATAGGGCTATGTGGAAGGGCCCTCTGTGTCACAATATGTTTGTGTTGGCTGCAGCCTGTAGGTTGTGTGTCACATGAGCGAAACGAGAAAGATTGTGAAATAAGCAAAAAAAAAAAAACAAAAAAAAAACAACAACAACAACCAAAAAACCCAAAACCCCCCATAAATATATATATTTATAAATATAAATATATATATATATATGAGCTTTTTATGAAATATGTTGTATCTCTTAGGCCCCTTCCACACAGCTGAATAAAATCCCACATTATGTGCTTTGAACTGGAATATATGGCAGTGTGGACTCAGATAACCCAGTTCAAAGCAGATATTGTGGGATTTTCTGCCTTGATATTCTGGGATAGAGGCTGTGTGGAAGGGCCCTGAGTCCACACTGCCATATAGTCCAGTTCAAAGCAGATAATGTGGAATTTTATTCAGCTGTGTGGAAGGGGCCTAAAAGTGTGTCAGCAACATGTAAGTAATCTTTGGAAAGCTCTGCCTTATATACTTGTAGGGCTGCATCAGGCCCGTAGCCAGGATTTTGATTCGGGGGGGGGGGGGGGGGGGGGGTGGGGCTGAGTCTGAGTGAAAGAGGGTCTACCCTAGCAAACCTTTTGTATCATTACCCCAATACCCCCATGGATATGGGATATATTGAGCATGGTGATCAGATCATGATATGAATAAACATAACAGTTTAAATAATGTACCAGTAAGGCCTTCTCGCGAACCACCATGAGAATTTGGGGGGGGGGGGGCTGAAGCCCCCAAAGCCCCCCCCCCCGGCTACATGCCTAGGCTGCATCATAAGGAATATGAATCAGGGCTTTCCCCCCCCGAAAGCTCTTGAACATTTATTATTGCTCAATGATCATGTTATTTTACAAGTAAAACATTGATCCTGCTAAAGGCAAACAATCCAAAATATATTATGTACAGTGGGCCCTCCATATCTACTGGTGTTTGGTTAAGATAGAGCGAATGAAGGGTTAATAAAACAGAAAACTATAAAATATAATAGTGAAACTTTTTAAAAATTGAGCAAACTAATAGAGGTGATCAAAATTCACACAATTATAAAAGAACATTCCACTAAAACCCCAAAAGCTTTGGAATTTACAGTGGATTTAAAAAAACCCTACAGCAGAAAATACAACATAGACTCTTTTATTATTGAGCCGTACAACTCAATAATGAAAGATTGTATCAATAGGAGTATTGTGTCTAGATCCAGGGAAGTCACGCTACCCCTCTATCCTGCCTTGGTTAGACCAGATCTGGAATACTGTGTCCAATTCTGGGCACTGCAATTGAAAAGAGATGTTGACAAGCTGGAATGTGTCCAGAGGAGGGTGACTAAATGATCAAGGGTCTGGAGAACAAGCCCTGTGAGGAGTGGCTTAAAGAGCTGGACATGTTTAGCTTGAAGAAGAGAAGGTTGAGAGGAGACATGATGTTGTTGTTTATTCGTTCAGTCGCTTCCGACTCTTCGTGAAATCATAGACCAGCCCACGCCAGAGCTCCCTGTCAACTATGGCCACCCCCAGCTCCTTCAAGGTCAAGCCAGTCACTTTAAGGATGCCATCCATCCATCTTGCCCTTGGTCGGCCCCTCTCTCTTTTTCCTTCCTTTTCCCCCAGCATCATTATCTTCTCTAAGCTTTCCTGTCTTCTCATTATGTGGCCAAAGTACTTCATCTTTGCCTCTAATGTCCTTCCCTCCAGTGAGCAGTTGGGCGTTATTTCCTGAAGTATGGACTGATTGGATCTTCTCGTGGTCCAAGGCACTCTCAGAATTTTCCTGCAACACCTCAGTTCAAAAGTGTCTATCTTCCTTCGCTCAGCCTTCCCTATGGTTCAGCTCTCACATCCATAGGTTACTACGGGAATACCATTGCCTTGACTATGCAGATCTTCGTTGCGAAGTGTGATGTCTCTACTATTTTATCGAGATTGGTCATTGCTCTTCTCCCAAGAACTAAACGTCTTCTGATTTCCTGGCTGCAGTCTGCATCTGCAGTAATCTTTGCACCTAGAAATACAAAGTCTGTCACTGCCTCCACATTTTCTCCTTCTATTTGCCAGTTATCAATCAGTCTGGTTGCCATAATCTTGTTTTTTTTCAACTGACCACCTTGATTAGCATTTGATGGCCTGGCAGTGCCTGGAGCAATCTTTTGTTGAGAGGTAATTAGATGTCCTTGTTTGTTTCCTCTCTGTTGTTGTGCTGTTCTAATTTTAGAGTTTTTTTTAATACTGGTAGCCAGATTTTGTTCATTTTCATGGTTTCTTTCTTTCTGTTGAAATTGTCCACATGCTTGTGGATTTCAATGGCTTCTCTGTATAGTCTGACATGGTGGTGGTTGGTGTGGTCCAGCATTTCTGTGTTCTCAAATAATATGCTGTGTCCAGGTTGGTTCATCAGGTGCTCTGCTATGGCTGAAAGTCTGCAGTGCCTTTCATGTTCCTTGATTTGTGTTAGGGCAATGCTGCGTTTGGTGGTCCCTATGTAGACTTGTCCACAGCTGCATGGTATACGGTAGACTCCCACAGAGGTGAGAGGATCCCTCTTGTCCTTTGCTGAACATAGCATTTGTTGGATTTTCTTGGTGGGTCTGTAGATAGTTTGTATGTTGTGTTTCCTCATCAGCTTCCCTATGCGGTCAGTGGACAATTGGAGCCCTGATGGGGCAGTAGGTTAAACCCCTGTGCCGGCAGGACTGAAGACCGATAGGTCGCAGGTTCGAATCTGGGGAGAGGCGGATAAGCTGTCTCTATCAGTTCCAGCTCCTCATGTGGGGACATGAGAGAAACCTCCCACAAGGATGACAAAAACATCAAATCATCAGGGCATCCCCTGGGCAACTTCCTTGCAGACGGCCAATTCTCTCACACCAGGAGCGACTTGCAGTTTCTCAAGTTGCTCCTGACACGACAAAAAAAAAAAAAAAGTGGACAATTTCAACAGAAAGGAGGAAACCATGAAAATGAACAAAATCTGGCTACCAGTATTTTAAAAACTCTAAAATTCCAACAGCAAAACAAGAGAGAGGAAACAATTAGGGACAGCTAATCACCTCTCAACAAAAGTTTCCCCCAGGCACTAACAAGCCACACCAAAAAAACTGCCAGGCCGTCAAATGCTAATCAAGGTGGTCAGTTGAAACATTCACACCTAGCTCCAACAGACAAGAGTTCTTTGTCCCACCCTGGTCATTCCACAGATATATAAACCCAATTTTCCTAGTTCCACCAGACCTCACTACCTCTGAGGATGCTTGCCATAGATGCAGGCGAAACGTCAGGAGAGAATGCCTCTAGAACATGGCCATATAGCCCGAAAAAACTTACAACAACCCAATATAATAATGGATAAAATAACTGTACTCTGTTTTTAATGAGCGTGTCCCTTTAAAAATCGAGAGGGCTCAAGATCCTACGTCACGTCCGGCGCCAGGCAGCCTTAAACCCAAGCCGGAGCCTCCAAGTCTTCCCCCGCTTCCCTTTCCCGGCTGGGATGCAAACCCAACTCGGCCTCCTCAATGAAAGGAAGTCTACGCCCTCCCCATTCCCTTGCGGGAGACAAACAGCCAATCACCGCCTGGGTCAGCCGACGAAGGGCGGGAACGACGCCTGTCTCCTCCTCAACGATTGGCGAGCCGAGAACTTGACGCGCATCGGGGGCGGGGCCAACGCGGATTGGCCGCTGCTGGCGAGAGAGTCCCGGTGCCGATTGGCCGCACGATAAAAGGGGAGCGCGAGCGGATAGGCCGCGGCGGCCTCACGTGACCTAGGCGGGGCCGGGCGTATTGTGGTGGAGGGGCTCGAGCTTGTCAGGTAGGTGGGCACCGCCTTTGGGGCTTTTGAGGGTTGCAACCTGGGACCTCCGGCCGGGCGAGGGGCCTTCCGGGGGCTGGAGAGGGACTGGGGCTTCTTTGGGGTCTTCGAGTGTGTAGGCCCCGGGGTAGGGCGGCGTTCAAAGGCGAGAGAGAGAGAGAGAGAGGAGGAAGGAAGGGAAGGTTTTGTTTCTCTCTGGCTGGGAAGGCTTTGCTTCAACTCCTGTTTGGGAAAGTGACGAGGCTGGGAAGGACTGGGGTTGAGGAAGGCGTGCCTAAGGTTAGGGTGCGTCTACGCCAGGCATGGGCAAACTGCGGCCTTCCAGGAGTTTTGGACTTCAACTCCCACCATTCCGAACAGCCTCAGGCCCTTTCCTCCCCCCCCTCAGCCGCTTTATTTATTTATTTATTTATTTATTTATTTACTTCATTTGTATACCGCTCTCTCTCTCAGCCCGTAGGCGACTCAGAGCGGTTTACAACCAAATCAGTATACAAAGTGCACAAAATTAGCATTTAAAAGCGGTAACTATGGCAACTACATCAATATAACAATACATCAATACATCAATATAACTAATCCATCACGTCTCATCAGTAAAGTCATAATCCGATCTCCTTGTCCATTATTCCATGTTCCAATAATCAATCAATTAATTGCACTGCTTAATTAAACGCCTGTTCAAAGAGCCAGGTCTTCACTCTTCTCCTGAATGCCAGCAGGGAGGGGGCCGATCTAATGTCTGTGGGAAGGGCGTTCCACAGCCGAGGGGCCACCACTGAGAAGGCCCTGTCTCTCGTCCCCGCCAGCCGTGCTTGTGAGGCTGGCGGGATCGAGAGCAGGGCCTCCCCGGACGATCTTAATGTCCTAACTGGTTCATAGGGGGTGATGCGTTCAGACAGATAGGTCGGGCCAGAACCTTTAGGGCTTTAAAGGCTAAAGCCAGCACTTTGAATTGTGCCCGGTAGCAGATTGGCAGCCAGTGAAGCTGGCGCAACAGAGGAGTGGTGTGCTCCCTGAGTGCTGCTCCTGTTAACAGCCTGGCTGCCAATCGTTGGACCATTTGTAGCTTCCGAGCAGTCTTCAGGGGCAACCCCACGTAGAGAGCGTTGCAGTAGTCTATACGGGATGTAACCAGTGCGTGGACTACCGTGGCCAAGTCAGACTTCCCAAGTTACGGGCGCAGCTGTTGCACAAGTTTTAATTGTGCGAATGCTCCCCTGGTCACCGCTGAAACCTGGGGTTCCAGGCTCAGTGATGAGTCCAAGATCACACCCAAGCTGCTGAGGGGGGAAAGGAAGGGGCCTGAGGCTGTTCGGAATGGTGGGAGTTGAAGTCCAAAACTCCTGGAAGGCCACAATTTGCATTTGCCTGCTGTAACCCAAACCTAGTATTGGTGGCCTGACACACACTCTGCTGCTACTATTCGTCCAAGCTTAGAACAGTGTTTCTAAACCTTCCTAATGCCACGACCCCTGAATAGAGTTCTTTATGTTGTGTTGGCCCCCAACCATAACATTATGTCCATTGTTACTTCACAATTGTAATTTTGGTACTGTTATGAATCGTCAATATTTGATGCACAAGACGACTAAAATGATCAAGGGTCTGGAGAACAAGCCATATGAGGAGCGGCTTAAGGAGCTGGGCATGTTTAGCCTGAAGAAGAGAAGGCTGAGAGGAGACATGCTTTTTTAATGTTTAACTGCAACCCAGCTTTTGCACTTTCTTTTTTCACCTTGATTAGAAGGCTCTTCAGCTCCTCCTTGCTTTCAGCCATCAAAGTGGTATCATCTGCATACCTAAGGTTGTTAACTGTTTCTTCCAACAATTTTTACATGATAGCCATGTACAAATATGTGAGAGGAAGCCACAGGGAGGAGGGAGCAAGCTTGTTTTCTGCTTCCCTGGAGACTAGGACGTGAAACAATGGCTTCAAACTACAAGAAAGGAGATTCCATCTGAACATGAGGAAGAACTCCCTGACTGTGAGAGCCGTTCAGCAGTGGAACTCTCTGCCCCGGAGTCTGTGGAAGCTTTTAAACAGAGGCTGGATGGCCATCTGTCACGGGTGCTTTGAATACAATATTCCTGCTTCTTGGCAGGGGGTTGGACTGGATGGCCCATGAGGTCTCTTCCAACTCTGATTCTACGTATTTTCATTCACTGGACCAAATTCGGCACAAATACCCGATACGCTCAAATTTGGGCAAAAGTATGGTAGCTGGGACCCAATGCCGAGACAGTGCAGCGAGTGAGAGATGCAGATGCGACAGAGTCGTGGCAAGGTAGTTCGCCAGAAAAAAGAGGGGGGGGGGGGCAACAAACAGCCAAGCATAGTGCTTAAGGCTATCTGGATATTATATTTATTTATTTTATTTACTACACTTTTATCCCGCCCTTTTCAGCCCGAAGGCGACTCAGGGCGGTGTACAGACTGGCAACAATTAGATGTCCAACACACATAAATGCAGTGTTTAAAACAGGTTAAATCACATAATAAAATTCATATCAAAACAATTTAGAGCTATAAAAATCAATGACTTCTGCGTTTAAGTCCATATCTATTTGCATTGTTAAGCCATTCCATATTCGTTCACAATAATGAGTTTATCTGGTTACAGTGAGGTTCCAAAAGCTTGCTCAAGGAGCCAGGTTTTTACTCTTTTCCTAAAGGTCAGGAGAGGGGGGGGGCTAATCTGATATCCCCAGGAAGGGAGTTCCACAGCCGAAGGGCCACCACTGAGAAGACCCTGTCCCTCGTCCCCACCAAGCCTCCTGTGAGGCAGGCGGGATTGAGAGCAGGGCCTCCCCCGATGATATTAAATTTCTGGAAGGTTCATAAGGAGAAACATGATCAGATAGGTAAGTTGGGCTTTAGGGCTTTATAGGTTAAAGCCAGCACTTTGAATGGTGCCCGGTAACAAATTGGGAGCCAGTGGAGCGGGTGCAACAGCGGAGTATGCAAACACGCTCAAATACGTAACGTCTTTGCTTCTCTAATTCTGACCTGCGTCGTGCAACCAGCATTGGGTCCCATCTATCATACTTTGGCCAAATTTGAATACTGAATGGGTTGTGCGAGGATTGATTTTGTCATTTGGGAGTTGTAGTTGCTAGGATTTATAGTTCACCTACAATCAAAGAGCATTCTGAACTCCACTAACGATAGAATTGGATCACATTTGGCACATAGAACTCCCATGACCAATAGAAAATACTGGAAAGGTCTGGTGGGCATTGACCTTGAGTTTGGGAGTTGTAGTTCACCTACATCCAGAGAACACTGTGGACTCAAACAATGATGGATCTGGACCAAACTTGGCACGGATACTCAGTATGCCCAAATGTGAACACTGGTAGAGTTAGAGGAAAGTAGACCTTGAAATTTAGGAGTTGTAGTTGCTGAGATTTATAGTTCACTTACAATCAATAGCATTCTGAACTTCACCAACGAGAGAATTGGCTCAAACTTTGCACACAGAACCCCCTTGACCAACAATGCTCTATTTTCTGATAGTCTTTGATGACCCCTCTGACACCCCCTCGTGACCCCCCTCAGGAGTCCTGACCCCCAGGTTGAGAAACAGTGGCTTAGAAAGAGAAGAGATCCACCCAATTTGCTCTGTTACCCCATTTTTCATAGTAGATCACAAATGATATTTGTTGTTGCAGAATTGATATAAACTCCTACGGATTTCATTTAACAACAGATTTGTGTGTTTTAATGCTTGTATATGTTCCAAGGCATTGAATAATTACCATATGCCATCTTGTCCCGTGTGACATCAGCGCCCCTCACCCAACACCAACGGCCACTCTGGGGCCAGAATAAAGAAGGGGAGCCAGGAGGACGTTGCCATCTTGTCCCCTGTGACATCAGCGCCCCTCCCCCAACACCAACGGCCACTCTGGGCCAGAATAAAGAAGGGGAGCCAGGAGGACGTTGCCATTTTGTCCCCTGTGACATCAGCGCCCCTCCCCCAACACCAACGGCCACTCTGGGGCCAGAATAAAGAAGGGGAGCAAGGAGGACGTTGCCATCTTGTCCCCTGTGACATCAGCGCCCCTCCCCCAACACCAACGGCCATTCTGGGGCCAGAATTGTTTTTATACTATGTCTTGAATTTTGTTGTTCCTATGTTGTAAACCGCTGTGAGTCGCCCCTGGGCTGAGAACAGCGGTATATAAGCAAAGTAAATAAATAAATAAATAAATAAATAAATATGTAAGCTGCCTTGGGTCCCCTACAAGGTAGAGAAAGGTGGGGTATAAATAAGGTAAATAAATAAATTGTGTGTTTTAATTTCTGTGTACAGCCAGCCCTCCACATTCACTGGGGTTAGGGGCACGTAATAGTAGTAATAATAACTTTATTTCATATTAACTACAGTTAAACTTGAGCGCCTTCAAGTACTATCATTTTCCATTTTGTCCAAACTGAGAAATATAACTTGAGATTTCGGCTCCTTTTACACTGCCCTATATCCCAGGATCTGATCCCAGGTTATCTGTTTCAACTGGATTCTATGAGTCTACACTGTCATTTAATCTGGGATAAGCAGACAATCTGGAATCAGATCCTGGGATATCAAACAGTGTAGAATGGGCCTAATTCAGCAACCTTTCTGGCAGAAAACAAAAGAAACTACACACCAAGGCAAATGCTTGCTGCATATACTCAATTATAGGTTAAGAATAACTTAGCCACCTGCTCCTTAGTTTTGCATCCTACAGGTTGAATATCCCATATCCAAAACACTTGGGACTTAAAGTGTTCCGTATATCAAATTTTGAAACACTTACATATGCATCATGGGACATCCTGAAGATGTGACTCAAGTCTAAATGCAAAATTCATTTAGGTTTCATATTCATTTTATACACATTGCCTGAAAGTACTTTTATACACAACAATTTAAGAATTTTGTGCATGAAACCAAGGTTGTATTCACTGAACCATTGGAAGGAAACGTATCACTGCTATCTCTGCCACCCTCCTGGACAATTTCTGATTATTGAGGGTTTTGGATTTCTGCATAAGAGATGCTTAACCTGTACTTACAATATGCTTATGGCCTCCCTATACCATATCCACAATGGATCTCTTTTGTCATTCGGCCAGCTTCACTGGGTGAACCCCTTTTCCCTTTCAAAATGTTTCCTTTTTTGTTTGTTTAAAGCATTTCTATCCTGCCCTTCTCATCCTGAAGAGGACTCAGGATGGAGCACAACATATATACGGCAAACATTTGATGCTGGAACATAAAATAAACTATAAATATACCTAAACATCCTAAACACTAAAATCTGTTATCTCCACTTTAAAATAAATTGTTTAAAACCATCTTCAGATCATCCATTCCAAATCCAGTCAGCAGGGTAAAGTTTCTTATTGTTCCCTTATTGTATTGCCCCAAAAGCTTGGTCCCACAGCCAAGTTTTTACCATCTTTCTGAAGGACAGGAGGGAGGGGATTGATTTAATTCTGCCAGGGAGGGAATTTCATAGCCGAGGGGTGATCACTGGGAACACCCTCTCTCTCATCCTCTCCAATCGCACGTGTGACAGTGGTGGGACCAAGTGCAGGGCCTACCCAGAAGATCTTAATCTCCACGGAAGGTCATAGAGGGAGATGCATTTGGACACGTAGATTGGGCTGGGGACATTTAGGGCTTTATAGGCCAAAGCCAGCACTTTGAATTGTGCTGGGTAGCAAACTGGCAAGTGGAGCTGATGCAACATGGGAGTTGTGTGCTCCTTGTATGCTACCCCAGTTATTAACCTGGCTGCCTTTCGTCAGACTATTTGAAGCTTCCAAACAGTCTTCAAAGGCAATCCAATAAACAATGCTAGAGGAAGTGCTGAATGAACAATTAGTGAAAAGTAGGTTAATAACATCCAAACTCCAAGAGGCTAAGAAAATAATAAAATGTGTTAACATGTTTTTGAGATGGTTTTCAAGGGGCTGCCCTTGAAAACGGCTCGGAAATTCCAACTGGTCCAACAGGCAGCGTCCAGGATGTTAACTGGTGCTCCTTACAGAGAGAAGTCAACCCTCCTGTTTAAGGAGCTCCACTGGCTGCCGTTTATTTTCCAATTTAAGGTGCAGGTGTTTACCTACAAAGCCCTAAACGGTTTGGGAGCACCCTACCTGCGTGACCGCATCTCCGTTTATGAACCCACGCACTCACTTTGCTCATCCGGAGAGGCCCTGCTCGTGATTCCCCCTGCATCGCAGGCGCGTTTGGTGGGGACGCGAGACAGGGCCTTTTCTGTGGTGGCCCCCCGACTCTGGAACACCCTCCCCAAAGATCTTAGACAGGCCCCTACATTGGCAGTCTTTAGAAAGAACTTTAAGACCTGGCTGTTCCGATGTGCCTTTCCAGAATAGGAAAACTCTAATAACAAGTCCCAGAAGCACTTTATTAGAATTAAGATGGCTGCACACTGCACTTACCCTATAATCCTTACATATCACCTGTCACATCAGCAATTTTAATCTTGTACCCATTACTCTGGCCCGGCCCAGTTTTATTGTGTCCTGGTGTATTGCTTTATTGCTTGTTGTTTAATATTGCTTTAACTGTTTTTAATTTGCTTTAGGTTTTGTATTATTATGTTGTGTTTGAGGCCTTGGCCTTTGTAAGCCGCATCGAGTCTAGGGAGATGCTAGCGGGGTACAAATAAAGATAATAATAATAATAATAATTTCTTTTTAACAATCACATATCAATTTTTGGCAGTTAGGTAAGATGACTCAATTTTTTTCTTCCTCTTCTATTTGATATACAAAGAATCTTGCATGTTTCTTTACCCATATATTATCTTCATTACTACTTATCTTCAGCCCTGAGAATTTCACATGTCACCACAGTCTGAATTGTATAATGCAAACTATGGAATTCCTAGAGAGCAAAGATGTCTTTGTACTTATGATCCACTGTGTTACCTTGATTTCTACAGTACAAATATTTGCCTTCCTTTCACCCATTTTTGAAAATCAGGCTTGTCATTCTATAACAGGGGCATAGAATGACAAGGGCAGAAAGGCTATTTGACTGCTTCCAGGGCAAACCAGGCTGCCACATTTTGGTTGTAGTTTAAAGGCTGGGAGCTAAGTCTTGTACATGCAAAACTGATTTAATAGTTCAAATTACCTACTCCTTCCACTAATTACATTCATTGAACTTTCTTTTATCCACTTTTGATTGAAATAGTGCTCTAGTTTCTTTGAAATATAAACAGAATAGAGATTGAATTGAAAGTTTCAAAATGTGGTAAATGCACTTTTTTTGAAAAAAAATGCTGGTACAGTAGATTTTCAGTTAACTAGAATTCAGGCAATCCAGCTCTCAAGCTACTGGCAAAAAAATGAAGAAATAATGCACACTTTACTCATAAACCTGTTTTTATAATACACCAAGACTCTTGCATCAAGTTAAGTTTGTATCTTTGTCCTAGTTTGCTTTTATTTACAACATTTCAATATGAATATCAAGTTAATACAGTGTTTATGGTATAGTATGTGGTATAGTATTAGTAGGGATATTTTTAACAGATATTCTCAGGCAACAAGAAAGCACATTTATCCAGGCTCTATCAATCCCCATGGGTGCTGTTTAACTGACAGTCTACTGTATTAACTAGTAGTTGTAGAAGAAGAATGTGAAATATAGTAGTCCACATTCGTGCGCTTCATTTTTGTGGTTTTGATTATTTGCAGATTTGAATAATATAATTTCTAGTAATCTGTAGGTCCTCTGGTATAATTCTGTGGTCAGCTGCTTCTTGCAAATGCTGATTTATTATCAGTAAATGTTTGATTTTTACACTTATTATATATTTTTATATACCTGGGGTCCCATAAAAAATTATTGAGTTGAAAGAGTTTGCGAATGGCCATGATCTAGATTAAACTGTTTTCATTAGCAGTCCCTTTCAGCCCAAGCCATTTTAACAGTTATAAAAATAAAGCATTTACTCATAATAAATAAGCATCTGGATTTTAAACTCCCTCCATCTGTCCTCTATTTCCCACTAAACCCTCATCCAGATTTGGTAGGGGGTTGCTCGAGCTATTTGGGTATTTGTTTGTTTTTACTTTTGCAGTACTCCTGCATCCCTCATCCTTGCAAACGTAGAGGGCTGGGTGTGTATCCAAATCTGCTTTCTCTCAAACTCTTCCATAAATAGGGTTTCCAGATGGCATGGCCTTGAATTTTCAGTTTTTGAGAGTCATATCCAGGTGGGAGACAAAGATGCACGTTCTTTAGTTTGGGGGGCTCTTACTAACAAGGGGAAAGGGCTGTTTGCAAATCTCCACTCAGCTAGGATAGAAGCATCTTCATTAATTGGTTAAGGCATCATTGATTTGTTTCTGCAACTTGTAAAGACTCTTTAGGGGATGTCTGTGTATTTACATAGTTAGCTTTTTCCTTTCTCATTCATTGTGCTGCCAGGGTTCACCCTCGAGTCTGTTTGTATCCACCTTCTGGCTTAGAAGCAAGTGGGCTAGACTAAATGTTCCTTGACCTGTCTCCATAAATATGCAAGAAGGAATAATCCTCTCATTTCACCTTGATCAAGGTACAGCCCAAATTGGAGCTTAGACTGCTGTCTAAATCTTGAAACAGGAACATACGTTTTATGTATATTTGAATTACAACCTGTGAATGATTGTGGATGGTACTTAATGCAGTTATAATAAGCTTTTATTCTTTACATAATTAAAGAATTATTTTAGACTAATGCTATCAGCTTTCAATTTCTTAGGCATACAAATTCCAGAAGTTAGCATTCCTCCCTTTTTTCTACAATGAGAAGTTGAGGACAAAACCAGGGGAATTCTTAAATCTTAGGTTGTGACTCTTAAACCTTAGGACCTGGAATAATCAAGATGTGACAAGACCATAATCTATTTAGGTAATGCACTGGTTTGAAACAAGTGGAGAGAAGATGGAATTCATAACTCCTGGCTGTCCATTTGAGTTCACTGTGTTAAGAGTTTTTATCATTTTTTAAGTAAGTAGTTTAAGTATCAGGGCAGCAAGAGCCAAACCACCTGGCCAGCATTGTGTAATTACAGCCAGGATGAAGTAACAGCTGGGGTAATAAAGGAGTTAGAAGGTTGGAGTTCTGAGAGGCTTGCGTATTGAGAAGTGAAGGTTGGAGTATCAAGAATTGGACTACAAAACCAGCCTGTTGCAAGTAAGAAATGTCCAGTTATCTGGAAGTATCAGGAAAAAAGGCTGAAGAAGTATCCCAATCTTCAGCCACTGTAAATGAACTCTGTATATATATTTTTTGTATAAAGTTGGCTGCAAAGAAAAGGTGTGAGTCTAATCCTTAATCGGAGGGGGAAACTACACATATTAACCCTCGTTGTGACACACTGGCCTTCAGAAAGAGATCGTTTCTCAACTCTCAATAGGATCTTGAATCTCAAGCTTAAAGTGTTGAACCTATAGATCAAGGGTCTGAGCCATATGGAACATCTGGTGATCAAAAGACCCAATATCCTCAGCAATAAGAGTGGATGGGGAGAAAATCGGCAGATAAAGAATTGCAAACTTTGTGTCATGGATGCTACTTTGTGTCTTAATAATTCATATGCTGTGGGAAAGTAGTAAAGAAGATTATGGGCTATGGGGTATAACTAAACTTTTAATAATTTTGTTGTGGATATGCAGACTTCTTTATGGCACAAGAAAAACATAGAGGTTCAGCTTTGTGAGATGACATTTCTTATCCTATGGCTGCCAAATTAAAAACACAGTTTTTTTTCTATATAGGTTTAGCATTGAAAGTGCAGAGGAATTGGAAGAGCTGAGAGTAAGAGCAAGGTAAGAGTTCTGGAAAAATAGATTTGTGGTATGAAATTATTTGAAAGTTATGCAGACCTAGCTAGGGAAGATCTTTATGGTATTTATTTCATAGTGATTCCCATTTAAAGGGCTTTTGTGTATAAGTTTATGATATATTTATTTCTCATGAATTGCAGAATCTGAAATTGTTTGGAAGTAATGTTACTTATACAATGAAAATGAGAGGTCTGCTCTCTTTGACTTTTAAGTTAATTGTATCAGTTTGACTTGTGTTTTTAAGAAGCTGCTTACACAGGTTAGTTTTGTCAAAGGTGGGCTAAAGCTTGACCAATTGTCATCTTTGAAAAATTCAAACATTTGTTTAAACCACTACATAAGAATAATGAAAACCTTAGACTTGTAAACTGAACAGATAATTGTAAACTATGACATCTTATTGTATTATTCTGTCTATGAGAACGGAACCGATGGGTGAGTAATATTTGTGGGTTGACTGAAGGGGTTATTTTGGGAATCATAGCCCTTCCTCTTTTAGTTTGAGGACTTCATGTTTAAGTTCACTTCTAACTTGGAATATAGTACAGGGACAGACAGCATTGTATGTTCCCCCTTTGAATACTGTCTTATTTTTAACGTTAACAGATGTGCTGACCAGAAGAATCTTTTCTTAGTGGCCCTTGGTAAAACTAGTGCCTTATAAAAGATGGGGTTTGGAAGTGACCTGAAATGTTCCCATGAAGCTTTGCTAAGACTACAAGATTGGGAGTTACGTCTACTGGAAACGGTGAAGAAGTTTATGGCCATGAGAATAAAAAGTGACAAGGAATATGCATCTACTTTACAGAATCTTTGCAACCAGGTTGATAAAGAAAGTACTTCACAATTGGATTATATTAGTAATGTATCTAAGGTAAGAAGTAATATATAGAATTTTAATTGGAGAAAATGATTACTGTAGTGATTTGCAAAATAGAAGCTATCCATAGCCTTAAAGATAAAATCTAACTTTAGAGTGAAGTTGTAGCATGCGCATTGAGCTATAAGAATTGCATTATAGTACACAATTTTAAAATTATCTTGTTAATATTGGAAACTTTCCATTGCTTAATGTTTGAGGTAGATGTTTCTGGAATGGAACTTGTCTGGTTTATTTGGATACTTATCACATGAGTCATTGTTACATCCTTATTAGTCTGGTTGCTGACACCCCTCTTGAATTCAACTTAATTACTGGTTGGGTTAAAAAGTGAGCCTAATCCACATAATCTACACAAGTTAATATCAGAAACTGCTAAAGGACATCTTGCAATTTGTGAGCTGAATATATATTTAAAACCTTGATTGTAAGCTTACAGTTTGGGTTTAGCTGACTGAATATGTCATGTAGAAATTTCTATATTCATAGCCAGTTATAATAAGCTTTTATTCTTTACATAATTAAAGAATTATTTTAGACTAATGCTACCAGCTTTCAATTTCTTAGGCATACAAATTCCAGAAGTTAGCATTCTTCCCTTTTTCTACAATGAGAAGTTGATAGCAGAAATAGCAAGATCACTCTCTGCTATCTGTGTATTTAAATGCATATCTTCCTTCACCTTGCAACCTTTGTTTTCTCAGCATTCCCAATTTTTTGGATGTATTTCTCACACTTGCAGTCAGTGCATGTACAGCAGACCTGTCTCCTACTATCTACTTAGTTCTTGTAAATACTAAAAAAAATCCTAATTTGTGAAGGAAACAAAGGAACAATTTGATTTTCCATTATGTAAATTTGATACATGAAAAAGACAAAACACACAATTTTTTTTAGATATATAAAACTATTGAAACCACTCAACTGCTTACTCTACTACTACTAAACTACAACTAAGCAGCTATAGGTATTATCCCTTGTTGGTCTCTTTTAACCAATAATGTTAATCATATTTCTCTTTTATGCAACATTCTACTAATTCATGTATTTTACAGTTGATAAATTTTACAATTGTTGTGACAAAGTAATGAATAGATACCAATCTTTCTTAAAGATTTCTTCTTAAAGAGCATAGTCAATTTGTCTATGTTTGGTAATTCACAAATCTTTAAAAAAAAGGAGGAAATGAGGTGGTGAAGTGTGTGAATAGAAGAACATTAGAGTGTTCAGTTGCTATTTAGAGATTGTTTGGTTAGAGAAAAAATGGCAACGCATCATTTTGAAATTTAAAGTGGGAAAAGGAAAGTGAAAATGAGAAGATGTCACTAGGAAGGAACAGAAGGCAGCATAGTGAGCAATAAGGGCATTCAGTGAATTAGATAGAAAATAGAAGTCCATTACACTAGTGTTGTTAATGACATTGGTTAGGTTTTTGGTGTTGTTGGTTGTTCATCCTGTCTTTCTTTTCCATTACACTGTCATCCAGGTCAGGGCTTTTAATTTTTTTTACTCGTGACCCCTTTTGGCCTGAGAAATGTTTACATGTTCCCAGGAATATATCCATAGAAAATATTACCTCAATATCAAACATTTACTGATAACAAATCAGCATTTCCAAGGCTTGCTAAACAGACTGATTTTTTAAAATGAAGTACAGATGAAGCATCTTCTGCAGAGTTCACTGTAAACACTGCACAACAGATTTATATAAATGTCTAAAACAGACACTAGGTAACCTTCAGAAAACTATCATTGTTGCCAATTTTTTTGAGACCCAAGCATTGAGCTAAGGGGACCGTACTTTTCGTCAGGAGTTGTCATTGATCTGAGTACTCACCTGGATAATAAATCTCCTTGCTTTCTGTTGTCCATGATCCCATGTAGATTTATATCTATTTCAGTTTTTGAATTCTTCAGCCTTGTTGAAGGGGATACTTCTTGGTCTGTTCTAGCCTCTTGGAATGCCCCCTCTGAAATGCGACATTGGCAGTGTTTTCTGCCTTGCAAATACCTGTATTGTAAGAGTAGTCATTTTGGATTCCACAAGTTCTAGGGCTAAAGCCTAGTCTTTCTAGAAATATATCATAAGGCTTTCTTATTTTTCAAGAAGATTGGGGAAAGGTAGGTCTGGTGTCAGAAACTGATCACCTTTATTTGTGCCTCTCGTCATGCCAATGTCTTTCAAGGAATGTACTGGTATCTTACGGGATTTTCAGGTTCTTGGCAGACAAGCAAAATCCTGAGATGGTTTGATTGGCATACCTCTTTGTTTCTTGTATTAAATCAGCACTTTGAGTTGTGAGATCAAGTGGGTGTAAGATTCATATATTTATTGAGATCTAATCCTGTTCACTCAACAAGTGACCACAATGAACAACAGTTAACCCACCCTATGCGATATTTTCCAAAGGAACAAATAACAGCTACTTCTGGAGCCCCTAGTGGTGCAATGAGTTAAACCCTTGTGCCAGCAGGACTGCTGACGAATAGGTCATGGTTCAGATCCGGGGAGAATGGGTTGAGCACCTTCTGTCAGATCCAGCTCTCCATGCAGGAACATGAGAGAAGCCTTCCACAAGGATGGTAAAAAAAAATCAAACATCCAGTCGTTTCTGGGCAACGTCTGCAAGGGCGCAGACGACCAATTCTTTCACACCAGAAATGACTGCAGTTTGTCAAGTCGCTCCTGGCATGAAAAAAACCCCCTGCTAATGATGCTATAAAAATTCCAATAACCAATACTAGCCACAGTCTCCTTCTTGGAATTCTGTTCCAACTACATCTGGTCTAATTTCTAGGTTTTTCTATCCTCCTTTCATCCCCACCTAATTGTGGAGAAGTTGAAAGCTTTTACGTTTTTGTGGCATTCTGGCTGGTACTACAAAGTTACTCCTACCCTTTGAATTTCATACATTTCAAAATAATTTTCCTGCTGTGATAAATTTGAGTTTGATTATAGGTGTACTAAATGATATACCTGACATGATTCATTATTTTGAAGATCTTTATCAGTAATTTCAGAATCCATGGGTTGAAAAATCAGACCGTATAACACTGATTCTAAGAGAGACCTTTCCCACAAAATAGAGGCTCAAAAAAGAGATTTATCTTAAGATCGATGGTGTTTTAGATTTGTTGTTATTCCTTAAAAAAGATCAGGTGCAGTAGTGGTGGCGGCTGAGAGAGCAGAAGGGAAGCCAGTTGTCCTGGCCAACCCCACATGTAATGCTACTGCCCTGCTGCCTTTCATGTTGCTACTGCTGACTCAGTGTGGCCAATACATGTGGCTCTTCCTCTATGGGCTGCTGCTGGTTGTTTTTTGTTTTGTTTTTGTTTTTGCTTCTGTTGTCTTAGTGTCACAGGGCTTATTTGTTTTTGAAGGGAGAGGATGGGGGCTGGCTGTGACTGAGAAAACTGGAGCTGCATGGTTCGTCAGCATGATTTTGACTGTGGTGGAAAATTTCTGTTCCCTTGAAGAAGGGTTTCCTCACCAGCCAGTTGTGGCTTCCTAGACTGGCTGCAGGGCCTGGATTCTGTTTGTAGGATCTGGCTTCTCTCTGTGTGCTGCTTGCTCCATTGGGACTGGTGGTAGCAGTGGTGAGGGCATGGAGAGATGTCCCTGAAATGGGAGGCAGCAGCTATGAATATGAGAAGCAAAGTAGAGTTGCTACCACGCACTCCTGGCAAACAGGGCTTTTTCCCTGTTCTCTTTACCACTGCTACTTCCACTTTTGAAGGTGCAAGTAATGTGGACAGAGATAGGGAGAAGCCAGATTTCAGACTTGCAGTCTAGGTTTCTAGCCCCTCTGATCCAGAGAGCTGGAACTAGCTGGTGAGGAGGGTTTGCTTGAAGTGTGCAAGACTCAAGATTTGTTTCTCTTTGTGGCTCGGATCAGTGCCAATGAATTGTATGGCTTTGGTAGTGAGACAAAGAGGAAAGTTGGGGGTGATGACTAAAAATCCTCCCCCCCCCACACACACACACTTCCCACCTCCCCAAATCAAGGCTCTTCTGCAGCTGAGAGAGTGGAATGGAAGCCAGTTGTCCTGACCAACCCCCCACCCAATGCTACTGCCCTGCTGCCTTTCATGTTGCTACAGTTGACTCGGTGTGGCCAATTCATGGGGCTCTTCCTCTCTGGACTGCTGGTGGTCTTTTTTTCCTCCCTTCTTCTCTTGTCTTAGTGTCACTCGTTTTTTTGTCTTTGATGGTAGAGGATGGGGGCTTGCCATGGCTGAGAAAACTGGAGCCTCAGGGTTCATCGGCATGGTTTTGGCTGTGAGGGAAAATTTCTGTTCCATTGGAGAAGGTTTTTCTCGCCAGGTGGGTGTGGCTTCCTGGCTCGGAGTGGCTGAAGGGTCTGGACTCTGGATGGAGGATCTGGCTTCCATGCACTCCTGAGAAACAGGGCTTCTCCCCTCTTATCCCTTGACCACTTCTACTTCCACTCTTGAAGGTGTAAGTAATGTGGAGAGAGATAGAGAGAAGCCATATCCCAGACTTGCAGTCTAGGTTTCTGGCCCCTCAGACCCGGAGAGCTGGAACTAGCTGGTGAAGAGAGTTCACGCCAAGCGTGGAAGACTCTGGAGATTTTTATGGCTCAGATCAGTGCTAATGAATTGTGTGGCTTTGGTTTTGTTTGCCACCACGTATGGCTGCAAGTGTCAGCCATCCTGAGGCAGTGCCAGAAGGTGGCAGTGGCAAGAGGGCCAGAGGGCCAGCAATATTGTGGGTGGGCTGGAGCTTTTGAGGGCAAGCCAGGACAGGGAGGTAGCGAGACAAAGAGGGAAGGTGGGGGTGATAACTAAAAATCCTCCGCCCACCCCACCCTCACCTCCCCAAATCAAGGCTCTTCTGTGGATGAAAGAGCAGAATGGAAGCCAGTTGTCCTGGCCAACCCCCTACCCAATGCTACTGCCCTGCTGCCTTTCATGTTGCTGCTGTTGACTCAGTGTGGCCAATTCACGGGGCTCTTCCTCTCTGGACTGCTGGCGGTCTTTTTTTTTCTTCTCTTGTCTTGTCTTGTCTTGTCTTGTCTTGTCTTGTCTTTTTTTTTTTTTTTTGAAAGGAGAGGATGGGGGTCGGCCATGGCTGAGAAATCTGGAGCTTCATGGTTTGTTGGCATGATTTTGGCTGTGGTGGAAAATTTCTGTTCCCTTGGAGAAGGGTTTCCTCATCAGCCGGTTGCTAGCCCCCTGACGTGGAGAGCTGGAGCTGGCTGATCATTAGGGTTTGCTCCCAGTGTGGAAGACTTTGGAGATTTGTTTCTCTTCGTGACTCAGATCAGTGTCAATGAATTGTGTGGCATTGGTTCTCTCAGCTGCCAGCATTTCTGGTCCTCTTTTTTTCAGGAGAAACCCAGCAGTGTTGGCAGCCTGGAGAGGAGAGGCTGTAGGTGTCGGCCATGCTGAGGCAGTGCCAGAAGCATGAAGGACAGCGGACCAGCAATATTGGGAGGTGGGGCTTCTCAGGGCTGGCCAGAACAGTGAGGTCGCGAGATAAAGAGGAAAGTTGGAGGTGATGACTAATTCCCCCCCCCCCCCAAATTAAGGTTCAACAAGAGTTTTACATTAAAATCGATGCCATTCTACAGTTGATGAAATACAGTACTTTGGTCTAGCAAATTCCTCACTCCTGCTCCTCCTTTATTCCTCTCTTTAACATATCATGCGTTCTCTTGCCATCATCTGCAGCTTTGTCTCTGTCCATATCTTTTAAATTTTTCTTCATTGGCATTGAATGTGATGAATCTGCAATACAAAGTAGGCCAGTATGTGACCTTCAGAGACCTTTTCCCTTTGGCCTACCACTCAGCTTTCTTTATTTTGCACTCATACCACTCTTAAAGGGATGTTTTGCCTTTCCTTCAAATATTAATGTCCCAAAGACATTAATCCTTGAGAGCAGTGGAACTCTGTGCCCTGGAGTGTGGTGGAGGCTTTTAAACAGAGGCTGGATGGCCATCTGTTGGGGGTGCTTTGAATGCAAATTTCCTGCTTTTTTATGTCAGGAATGACTTGAGAAACTGCAGGTAGCTTCTGGAGTGAGAGAATTGTCTGTCTGCAAGGACGTCACCCAGGGGACTCCCAAATGTTCTGATGTTTTACCATTCTTGTGGGAGGCTTCTCTTATGTCCCTGCATGGGGAGCTAGAGCTAACAGAGGGAGCTCATCCGTGGTCTCACCGGATGCAAACCTCCAACCTGTCGGTCTTCAATCTTATCAGCACAAAGGTTTAACCCATTGTGCCACCAAGGGCTCCTTTTCCTGCTTCTTGGCAAAGGGTTGAACTGGATGGCCCACGAGGTCTCTTCCAACTCTATGATTCTATTACTGAAAAAAAGGATATTGTGTGTAAATAATGTACATCTGGCAATTGTTGCATTATGTGGTTTGTCTTTTCTGAACAATGTAGGGTTGTGCCTTGAAATCCTCTTCTGCACTTTCTGTTGTTTAGACATAAGTGAATATAGCTAAGAAAAGAACATAATGTTAACAAGGATTGGAATAGATGTTATAAGAACTATTTTGGGGGCATTTTAGCAGTTGGTGAACAGACATGATTTTTTAAAATTGTTCAGAGGTATGCACCAATGACTTTCCCTGTAAGTATGGCAGTTTCAGTATTACCCTCAGTTTGCATTTATCCTTTTCTTTTTGAAGCCCTTTTTGGGCATATTAATGATACTCAATGTGGACTCTAAATATTATTGATCCTTTATACTATTGAATTGAATTATATATCATTCAATCTCTAATTTTCAGTTGCAATTTTCTTAAATTAATAATTAAATCATTCATGAATCTAAGCATTCTTGGAAGTTAAAATGCTACTGTTTCTTATTCTTGTATTAGACCAGACTCTTTCTGACAATATTCTCTTGGTGCATTTAGTACATTGTTTGTATTTACTTTGTGCCTGGAACATCCCCTGATTACTGCATTGATTCAATAGTTGAATGACGTAATTTCACTCTGTAATTTTTGTTACTAATATATGTGCTTCCAAGTACAGACAGGTTATTTTTCTGTTCTTGAGTCCATAATTGCAGCCGGAAGTGTAACTGTACTATATAGTGTTCTATATTTATAGGTTCCTGTGTTATATGTATAATTCTATGTGTATGAAATACACCCTTAGACAATTTCTGTATCTTTCTTTTGCTTCTCACCAATAGCAATATAACCTCTAATTTATCTTCTTTTAAGTCATGGTTAATTATAGTGCAGCAAACAGAACAGCTTAGCAGGGTCATGAAGACGCATGCAGAAGACTTGAATGCTGGTCCATTACATAGGCTTACAATGATGATAAAAGACAAGCAACAAATTAAGAAGAGTTACATTGGTGGCCATCAGCAAATTGAGGCAGAGATGTTCAAGGTATGCTACTTAAATTATTTTCTATTTTTTTCATTTGATAGCAAAGTTTCAATTAATTTGACGGGAAGTTTTGTGCATAGAAACATATTGATTTGAAATTGTATTTAGTTTCCAGTTCTTTTTATTAAACCATATGGACATGGTAGTAACCTGCCCCTTTCAGGAATTTCAATGTAGCAATCTTACTCACTTTTTCTTAGACTGATCTCTATATGCTTCTGTGAGTTGAACAAGGAAAAAAATGTCCTAATAATGCTATGCATGCTGCTACTTTAAGGAGATAGTTATCTATTTTTAAAGTATTTTCTACTGTTTACTTCTAGTGGTTCGCAATACAAACATATACATAAATTGAAAGTGCATATTTCATCCAGGCTTACTTTAATTAACAGTCTCTGACGGAGAAACTCCATATTATACCTGCCCAGCTCCCACCTTTTTCTTTGTCCCCTGCTTAGTTGAATTTTCCCCCACGCTATTGGAACTGCGTGATGGTGAAGAAGTGCTGCAGTGACACTAACTTTTGGAATATGACTGTAGCAGTGTGTTTACAGTAAAGCATGCAATAAAGTTTCGGCTGGGAAATAATGTGGAAGGTATAGATGAAGGAACATGTTTGCACATCTGTATGTGCAATGGTTTTCATGTGAAACTGTTTCAGCTGATGGGTGCCATTGTACTATGTTGAAATAATCATTCCACATCCATTGTGCAGTTTACGTATGTGTATTTCACTAACGTGCTAGCAATGTCTGTTTCAGCCCACTTGCCTGCGTTAGTCTCTTTGTCCTTTCTGAACATTTCATAACGTTCTGATATGCTGCTTTTGTGTAATGAAGTGTAGTGTATTGGTGGTAATGTTTATTACTTTCCCTTCCATAGGTTACAAAAACAGAACTGGAGAAATTAAAGTGTAGTTATAGACAGTTAATTAAAGAAGTCAATTCTGCCAAAGAGAAGTATAAAGAAGCCCTTTCAAAAGGTAATTGTATGATTTGTTTTAGACTTACAGGTGCTATAACCCTTATGTAGATTCAACATAGAACAGTTGCACTAATTGCAACAATAAAAATAAAGAAATGACCACTTTCTCAATGATAAGTAGTATGTTTACTTCTGCTGTGATCCTTTCATGATTTATTTAGAAGTTCAAATCAGTGTGGTGTTCACCTTTACCCTATCCACAGTCAGCACTGGACAGCATTTCTTGTATTTAGGTACTCTGCAAACCTTATCTGCAGTTCCCTTCCAATTATCTTTTGAGGCTCTTAAGGACAATGAAGACAAGTTGAATAGGTACCCGCAGTGCTCCACAATCACTGGCATAAGTACTTCCGGAAGAATAGTTTGATAGTATTTCCTGTCCTGTGCCTTCACTTCCATAATCCCTTGTTCAAGAAGGAGAACATCTTTTGATTAAGTTGGATGTTGCAGCCCTCTAGTATTAGTACTGAGCACTTTAGCTTGAAGTTTAAAAGCTAGGAGGAAAATTTTCAACTTTCTGGGACAACTTCTCTCTCTCTCTCTCTCTCTCTCTCTCTCTTTCTCTCTCTCCCTCTTTCTCCCCCTTTCTCTTTCTCTCCCTTTTCTCTTTCTTTTTTACCAGTTCTTTGTTACTTCCCCCAAAATGTCTTTGTTCTCCAGGGCAGCTAAATTGTAAGTTTCATTTCGCTTACAAAAAGAGTGGCTGTCTTATTCCTTCGGCAATTTTGGATATCCATGAATATTTGATATTACAGCATGTTGACATATTGTTGCCTAAGGCTTATGAATTCAATTTTTTTTGGCCTAGAGGCATTAGCTGGGATCCAAAGTCAGGCTGAAATTTTTGTGGGGGAATTAGCCCAATTCTCTTAACTTTAATTTCTGTGGCTTTTTGCTGTGTAACAAACTGCTTTTGAAGCTTCGAAACACATTTCCTATGGGGTGTGAGGAGGGGCTTGTTATTTAAGAAAGGACAACCCTAAAATGAATATTCAGTGTGGTATTTTCTCAAACAGTACAACTCTGTCTAATTTTAAGAGATTATAATAATAATAATAATAATAATAATAATAATAATAATAATAATAATAATAATTTATAACCTGCCCTATCTCCCTGTGGGGACTCATGGCAGTTTCCAGTGGAAATAACATACTACCAAACATTCAATGCCAAAACAACATATAACAGGCAAAACAACATATAACAGCTACTTAATCAGTGACATACAGGAATGCCACTGCCAATAAATAGTTCATACATTCCTCAGAAAGTTTACAGTAATTGGGCAGGGACATCTCCATCTTTTGTTGTTATGAAAAGGATAACGTAAGCTATAATGTTTAATATCTTCCATTTCATCCAGCCCACAGGGACCTTATCAAATCCACCTTCAAGATACATGCTTATGGATATGATTATTGTTTAATATTTCCCATTTCAGCCATCCCTCAGGGACCCTTATAAAATCTGCCCTCCAGATACATGGTTATGTATCTGAACATTGACATTAAATGAAAAATTGCATCGAATAAAAATAATTGGCATAAAATAAGATTTCCTAGTAACAGTGGATAAAATCTGTGTCATCATGTTTATGAAACAGCATCTGACGAAGAGTATTCTCTATCACCCTTGAAAACCCTTTAAACTTTCAGGTTTTAAAGGCACACAGAGAAAAGGAGTGAGAATTAAGGCATGGGAGTTTTGTTTTGCAAGTAAAAGTCTGTTAGAATAATGTTGACTGTAATCAGGTGATAAGGTACCAAAAGCTAAATTATCTGATATTATCAATAGAATAAGAGACTTCCATGGAACTGATAAATTATTCTAATGTTTTCCGAATTTTACTGCACACAAGATTATTCGTAGTACCCCACGAAAATAAATTGTTTTATTCTAGTATATATAAAATAGCTGAGTTCCAAATATCAGGCACTGTATGCTACTGCTTAGATGAGTCTGAGAATCTCTATGGATCCTAACCAATATACACATTTAGCTAGAAGTCAAATCTTCACTAAAAGTGAAGATGTGGCACTTGAGAATTAAGCATTTTGGAGGCTTCTTGAATTCAGTTGGACATATTGCACTGAAATGAATGGAAATTGACACGTTTTAATTTCTCTTGGATTTTTTTTATTGTTACCCAATAGAGTAGAATTATAGATTTCTTTCTCTTGCTTTTCCTTCAGGAAAGGAAACTGAAAAAGCCAAAGATCGTTATGATAAAGCCACTATGAAGCTTCACATGTTGCACAATCAGTATGTCTTGGCACTGAAAGGAGCACAGCTACATCAGCATCAGCACTATGATGCCACACTTCCTCTGTTTCTTGATTCTCTACAGAAGATGCAAGAAGAAATGATTAAAGCACTGTAAGACATACTTGTTTAATCTAATTTTTAAAACGTGCACCTAATTAACCTGATTGATTACATTCCACTTTTGGATATAAGCAACTGTGAAATGAATCGATGCACACTACTGCTCCTATGTACTAGTGAAACTCTGCTGTGGCAAAGGGAAGCATTAATTCAAGATGCTAGTCTTGCTTAGTAAAATTTTGTATCCTGTAGAGCAGTGGTTCCCAACCTTTTTTTGACCAGGGACCACTTGAATAGGGACCACTTTGACCAGTGACATTAGTACTTCAACATTAGTACCAAAAGGGTTACGAATCAGCTTTGGGTCAACTTTAGATTTGGTTTGGTTATTTGAGATGCTGATTCAGAAAATTGCATTGGATTGACCACATCAGCTCTAGTTTCTATATATGCCATCTAGTAGTCACCATCTGTTCACCCATATTTAATAATCTTGAGCTGATGTAGTAGTAGTACTCTTTTGTGGGTAGTCAGCCTCTCCTCTCCCGACTTCCCTGTTGCCTTGGCACTATAAGAGGCTTGGTGAGACCAGTCGCTCTTGGTGCCACATGGTTTTGAGGCAACAGAGTAGTCATGATGAGGCCACGGACCATATTTTCATTTTTGGGGACCACTGCTGGTCCATGGACCACAGGTTGATAACCACTGCTTTAGAGTCACAGTATCTGAGAGATCACCTTTTATATGTACATGTACCATTAGTCCCTCTCTTGATACCACTCTCTTCAGACATGAAAAGGTTCCCTTTTATGATGGTATCCTTTGTGTGGAATGCTCTTTCGATGGACATACAGCTGGAACCATCTCTTTCTGGGAAGGGAGTGTCATAAGGCAATTTAATTTTCCACGGCTTTTAAGTAATACTCTTAGTTCCGCTGTTTCTTTCTCTTGCTTCTGTTAATGGCTAGTGGAGATTTCAAATTATTTTAGTGTTAACTATTACATTTTTGAATTGCTGTTAGAAGTTACATATGAAAAATGTTGTGAAAAAAAGCCTAGGAGTCATTTGTTTTGCTCATTGGTCTGCACTTGGGTTGAGTAATCTTCGTCTCCATGCTTCCCTTCTTTTCTGTTTTGGCAGCATAATTCTATATGGGTCTTTCAAGGTAAATGGAACTGCAATTCAATAGTTTTTATTTGTTTTAGAATAACTTGCTGTAGACATTCTAAAACCAGGTTACTTGTTCTTCAAACATGGGTTGAAATATTAATAAGTCTTTTAGGACAAACACCACGGTTGCTTTATTTAATCTTCGAAGTAAATTATTCAGTTGAAGCCCATATTTGCCATTCCCAAAGCAATTGACCCTGTTATTTATTTTGTGTCTTCTGCTACTTTTTTATTTTACCATTAGAGAATACTGTCACTTCTCTCAGCATAAAGTTGTGCCTTAATTCCTTTAATTGTTCAATGCTTTGAATTCTCTGTGGAGCAATTGGGAACACTAAATTTTCTTTTTGCTTATCAGACTTGTTCAGATGAGCCAAATAAAATGACAGATTTGGCTCTTCCATTTCTAGTTTATCATTACAGCCTTTCGTCACTCTGAAACTTGTTTGGCTCCTTTGAAGCTCCTTCACACTTTCTGAGAAGCAGCGAATGACATGGAGTGGCCTGTAACCTGCTCATTTTAGCACACTGAGTACTAATGTTCAAAATAATTAGTTGCATTTCTGAGATAAGTGCTTTAAAACTTTGTTCATAGCAAAGACTGTAGAGTATAATTTCATTATTTGGCTTTCATTTTTATCAAGTTACCCTGATCAGTTGTGAACATGTAGCAATGTTATTATTCCTTGGTTCTGATAAATAGCTGCACAAATGACTATCAAATGGATAAGTTTTTAAAAGACTGTTTATTCATTCTTCCCCAGTGTAACAGAAACGTTAGGCAGACAAGAACAGATAAGATTAATATAATTGTTTCAGTAATTCATAACAAAAGATCCACAAATTTTCTTTTATATGCACTTTGGTAGAAGAAAGAAGAAATGGAAGAGAGTTTCCTTCAGATACTAAGATATCACTCCCTTTCTTTCCAGCATGCAAACTGCAATCCAAGTAAAGATAGTGTTACATTTGGAAGGCATAGCTTAGTTATGAGCCCATAGTTTTGCCCTGATCTGACCATTTTCTTCTGATGTTTGGTATAAGTTCGATTTGCACATTGCAGATTGGTTGGCCCTTGTGTCAATTACAATGCTGTATTTACCCACTTTGAGATGCAAGCTTTCAATGTTTTAATTGCTTGTCCTTTGTATCAGTAAGAAAACAACTTTGTCCCCTTTCTGCAGCTCTTTAAAAGATTGTAAAATGTTTTTAAATGACTGGACAGGAATATGATGGGATAAACATGCATCTGTCAAGGGTACTTTTATTGTGCTTTACCTGCATGGCAGGGGGTTGGACTACATGGCCCATATGGTCTCTTCCAACTGTATTATTCTGTGATTCTAAGCAGGAAGGATTAAAAATATACATCTTTTTGGATAGGGAGAAGTACCAGGATTCAGGATTCAAACAACAACAACAATAATTTAAAACACAGCGAGATGAGTCCACAGCAGACACTCTGCTGGCTGTTGTATTGGATCACACGTCGGACACTTCCCAAGTGTCTAGGACTGTGAGATGTATCAGCGAATAATGCATGCAGATCCCAGTAAGGTGGCCTTTTGCAGTTGGCAGATGGCAATTTTGTCAGCGCCTATTGTGTTTATTATTATTATTATTATTATTATTATTATTATTATTATTATTTCTTACCTTCCTCCCCTTATGGCTTAAGGCAGGTTAAGAACAATTAAAACACATAAGCACAGCAAAAACACCACAAGTACACATATTAACATGTACCTCTATTAAACCCTAGATTGCATATGTGGATAGCATATTTCAGTGCATAGCCAACTCACCTTTCCTGATTTACATATTTATCTATATACAGCTAAGAGTAACAAAAATGTCTGTGTCTATACAATATATCTACAATATCTTTCTGTTTTCCCCCAGAAAAGGAATCCTTGAAGAATATAGTCAGATCACCAGTCTTGTAACAGAAGAAATAGTGAATGTTCATAAAGAGATCCAGACATCAGTTGAGCAATTAGATCCTAGTTCAGAGTACAGTAGTTTCATAGAGGTTTATAGGTAAGCTATCATTAAATGTTCTGTTTAATTCTTAAATCTATAATATGTATTAGATAGGTTGTTTGTAAATTTTCATAAGACTTGATGCATTGACTGTTTTGTGTCTAGCGTAGCAGCAAGTGTGATCATCTGACTGAAGTCACCTAATTATTACAAGGATCCACTTCACTTACATGTTTTAACAAGCATGGGGATATTGCAGTAGGCAGCCGAAGAAATGGAACTGGTCCCAAATATCATCTTTTTTGTTGTAAATTGTAGCTCTTTCACCTGGTCTTCTTCCATTTTCAGTTTCTCGATCAGACTAGTAGTTCCTTGCTTGACCTGAGATTTGTAGCTCCAGCAATGGCTGGATGGGAGGTGGACGGGGCTAAGTTCACAATATAAGAATAATTTAATCCTTGATCCATAAATTCTAAGAAAAATCCCACAAACCAGCAGGTAATGCACACTGTTTAATGCTATTTAAAGATGCTTAAGTTCTAATATTTAAAAATATAGCTCTCTTTATCAGCAGTTCTCCAGTTGCTGCTTTCCCCCTTGGATGATTAAAAAAAACAAGCAAAAGACAGACTTTTTTCCATTTTGGTGCCTTGCTTCCTGAAAAATTGTGCTTTCAATGCTTGCAAATTACTGACAAATTCTAATAATTTGATGAGAGGCCCATATTTTTGTCTATTCTTCTAACTTACAAGGACTCTCTTGGGTCTGCATATATGGTCCCAAGGCTTGCCTATGGAAAAATTGTAACTGTCCTTGAATTAATTTTGTGCGCAGATACCAATTGTACAACTGCTTAGGTTGACAGTGAGCTGGGCATTCTTAAAAACAGCTATTTTTTAAAAATGCTATTATCAGTCGAGCACTCAACCCTGACTTGGCTTCGAACTTGCCACCTTTCGGTCAGCAATGATTTATTGCAACTGATTAACCAGTTGTGCTACCATTATTATCATTATCATTATCCAGAAAATCCCATTGTCTGATTTTTAACTAATTTATTTGCAAATTATGGTGGAAAATAAATATTTGATCCATAACAAAAGCTCATCTCAATACTTTGTTATATATCCTTTATTGGCAATGACAGAGGTCAAATGTTTTCTGTAAGTTCAAGGTTAGCACACACTGTTGCTGGTTTGTTGGTCCATTCCTCCATGCAGGTATCCTCAAGAGCAGTGATGTTTTGGGGCTGTTGCTGGGCAACACAGACTTTCCACTCCTTCCAAAGGTTTTCTATAGGGTTGAGATCTGGAGGCTGGCTGCGCCACTCCAGGACCTTGAAATGCTTCTTACGAAGCCACTCCTTTGTTACCCTGGTGAGGTGCTTGGGATCATTGTCATGCTGAAAGATCCAGCCACATTTCATCTTCAGAGCCTCTTGCTGATGAAAGGAGGTTTTGCACTCAAAATCTCATGATACATGGCCCCATTCATTCTTTCATGTATACAGATCAGTCGCCCTGGTCCCTTTGCAGAGAAACAGCATCAAAGCAGGATGTTGCCACCTCCATGCTTCCCAGTAGGTATGGGGTTCTTTGGATGCAACACAGCATTTTTTCTTCTCCAAACACGAGTTGTGTTTCTGCCAAACAGTTCTACTTTGTTCTTGTGGGTTTTTTCGGGCTATATGGCCATGTTCTAGAGGCATTTCTCCTGACGTTTCGCCTGCATCTATGGCAAGCTTCCTCAGAGGAAGCTTGCCATAGATGCAGGCGAAACGTCAGGAGAAATGCCTCTAGAACATGGCCATATAGCCCGAAAAAAAACCCACAAGAACTGAGTGATTCCGGCCATGAAAGCCTTCGACAGTTCTACTTTGGTTTCATCTGGCCATATGACATTCTCCCAATATTCTTCTGGATCATCCAAATGCTCTCTAGCAAACTTCAGTCGGCCCTGGACATGTACTGGCTTAAGCACAGGGGGACATGTCTGGCAGTGCAAGATCTGAGTCCCTGGCGGCGTAGTGTGTTACTGATGGTAGCCTTTGTAACGTTGGTCCCAGCTCTCTGCAGGTCATTCACTAGGTTCCTCTATGTGGTTCTGGGATTTTTGCTCACTGTTCTTGTGATCATTTTGACCCCACAGGGAGAGATCTTGCGTGGAGCCCCAGATCGAGGGAGATTATCAGTGGTCTTGTTTCTCTTCCATTTTCTAATTATTGCTCCCACAGTTGATTTCTTCACACCAAGCTTCTTCCCTATTGCAGATTCAGTCTTCCCAGTCTAGTGCAGGGTGACAATTTTGTTTCTGGTGTCCTTCGACAGCTCTTTGGCCTTCACCATAGTGGAGTTTGGAGTGTGACTGCTTGAGGTTGTGGACAGGTGTCTTTTATACTGATAACAAGTTCAAATAGGTGCCATTGCTACAGGTAATGAGTGGAGGACAGAGGAGCTTTTCTTTGAGACCCAGAAATCTTACTTGTTTGTAGGTGACCAAATAATTATTTTCTACATAATTTGCAAATAAATTTGTTAAAAATCAGACAATGTGATTTTCTGGATGTGTTTTCTTATGTTGTCTCTCATAGTTGAGGTCTACCTATGATGTCAATTACAGGCCTCTCTCTTTTTAAGTGGGCGAACTTGTATAGAAATGTGTTATGTTCTGTTCCAATTGAAATATATGCCCTGTTAGAGAGATCTTAACATGTATATTTTATTCCCAGAGAGCTATATTCTGCCTATTCCTTTAAAATAAAAGTGGGAGAAGTTGTTCAATTGGTATCTGACAAAATACTCTCCCCCCCCCCACTGTATATCCTTGAATTCCTCTTATCCACCAGTTCCACTTTCTGACAGCATTCCATTACTTAGCCTATCAGATAAGTGCGAGTTTCCAAAGACTCAGATTTATTCATACCAATCAATTTGTATTGTTGTTGTTGTTCATTCGTTCAGTCGTCTCCGACTCTTCGTGACCTCATAGACCAGCCTACGCCAGAGCTCCCTGTCGGCCGTCACCACCCCCAGCTCCTTCAAGGTCAGTCCAGTCACTTCAAGGATGCCATCCATCCATCTTGCCCTTGGTCGGCCCCTCTTCCTTTTGCCTTCCACTTTCCCCAGCATAATTGTCTTCTCTAGGCTTTCCTGTCTCCTCATGATGTGGCCAAAGTACTTCAACTTTGTCTCTAGTATCTTTCCCTCCAGTGAGCAGTCGGGCTTTATTTCCTGGAGATGCCAGGAAAAAGATGCCATAGACTCAAGGCACTCTCAGAACTTTCCTCCAACACCCCAGCTCAAAAGCATCGATCTTCCTTCGCTCAGCCTTCCCTAAGGTCCAGCTCTCACATCCGTAGGTTACTACAGGGAATACCATGGCTTTGACTAGGCGGATCTTTGTTGCCAGTCTGATGTCTCTACTCTTCACTATTTTATCGAGACTGGACATTGCTCTCCTCCCAAGAAGTAAGCGTCTTCTGATTTCCTGGCTACAATCTGCATCTGCAGTAATCTTTGCACCTAGAAATACAAAGTCTGTCACGGCCTCCACGGTTTCTCCCTCTATTTTCCAGTTGTCAATCATTCTTGTTGCCATAATCTTGGTTTTTTTGACGTTTAGCTGCAACCCGGCTTTTGCGCTTTCTTCTCTTCACCTTGATTAGAAGGCTCCTCAGCTCCTCCTCGCTTTCGGCCATCAGAGTGGTGTCATCTGCATATCTGAGGTTGTTAATGTTTCTTCCAGCAACTTTTACCCCAGCTTTGCATTCATCCAGCCCCGCACATCGCATGATGTGTTCTGCATACAAGTTAAAAAGGTTGGGTGGAGAAGATGCAGCCTTGCCGTACGCCTTTCCCAATCTTGAACCAGTCTGGTGTTCCGTGGTCAGTTCTGACTGTTGCTACTTGGTCCTTGTACAGATTCCTCAGGAGAGAGACAAGGTGGCTTGGGATGCCCATCCCACTAAGAACTTGCCACAATTTATTATGATCCACACAGTCAAAGGCTTTAGAATAGTCAATGAAGCAGAAGTAGATGTTTTTCTGAAACTCCCTGCCTTTCTCCATTATCCAGCGGATATTGGCAATCTGGTCTCTCGTTCCTCTGCCTTTTCTAAACCCAGCTTGAACATCTGGCAACTCTCGCTCCATGTAGTGCTGGAGTCTTCCTTGCAGGATCTTGAGCATTACCTTACTGGCATGAGAAATAAGGGCCACTGTACGGAAGTTTGAGCAGTCTTTCGCATTTCCCTTTTTTGGTATGGGGATATAAGTTGATTTTTCCAGTCTGATGGCCATTCTTGTGTTTTCCATATTTGCTTGCATATGGCATGCATCACCTTGACAGCATCATCTTTTAAGATTTTAAACAGTTCAGCTGGGATCCCGTCGTCTCCTGCTGCCTTGTTGTTAGCAATGCTTCTTAAGGCCCATTCAACCTCACTCCTCAGGATGTCTGGTTCTAATTCATTCACCACACCGTCGAATACTATCCTCAATATTATTATCCTTCCTATACAGATCTTCTGTATAGTCTCGCCACCTTCTCTTGATCTCTTCAGCTTCTGTTAGGTCCCTGCCATCTTTGTTTCTTATCATACCAATTTTCACCTGAAATTTACCTCCAATGTTTCTAATTTTCTGGAAGAGGTCTCTTGTCCTTCCTATTCTGCTGTCTTCCTCCACTTCCATGCATTCCTTATTTAAAAATAGTTCCTTATCTCTTCTGGCTAACCTCTGGAATTGCGCATTTAACTGGGCATATCTCCCCTTTTCACTGTTTCCTTTTGCTTTCCTCCTTTCTTGGGCTACTTCCAGTGTCTCAGCAGACAACCATTTTGCCTTCTTGGTTTTCTTTTTCTTTGGAACGTACTTTGTTGCCGCCTCCTGAACAATGTCGCGAACTTCTGTCCATAGTTCTTCTGGGACTCTGTTTACTAAATCTAGTCCTTCAAATCTGTTCTTCACTTCCACTGTATATTCGCTAGGAATGTTAGTGAGATCATAGCTAACTGGTCTGTGTATTTTCCCTGATCTCTTTAGTTTTATTCTAAATTGGCAATAAGAAGTTCGTGATCTGAGCTACAGTCAGCCCAGGTCTTGTTTTCACCGACTGGATGGATGTCCGCCACCTTTGGCTGCAAAGGATGTAGTCAATCTGATTTCGGTGTTGACCATCTGGTGAGGTCCATGTATAAAGCCGTCTTTTAGGTTGTTGGAAGAGAGTATTAATTATACACAGCGAGTTTTCCTGGCAAAATTCTATCAGCCTGCGTCCCGCTTCATTTTGTTCTCCCAGACCATGCTTGCCTGTGATCCCAGTTGTCATTTGACTTCCCACCTTGGCATTCCAGTCTCCTGTAATGAAAATAATGTCTCTTTTTGGTGTATTATCCAGTAGGTCCGGCAGATCCTCATAGAACTGATCTACTTCTGCTTCTTCAGCAGCTGTGGTTGGGGCGTATATTTGGATCACTGTAATGTTGAAAGGCTTTCCTTGCACTCGAATTGAGATCATTCTGTCATTTTTGGGTTGTATCCAAGCACCTGCTTTAGCGAATTTCTTATTAATTATGAAGGCTACTCCATTTCTTCGATGTTCCTCTTGTCCGCAGTAGTAGATCTGGTGGTCATCTGATGTGAAGTGGCCCATTCCAGTCCATTTCAGTTCGCTGAGCCCCAGAATGTCTATCTTTAGTCTTGACATCTCGCCAATAACAACATCCAATTTGCCCTGGCTCATAGATCTTACATTCCAGGTTCCTATGGTGTGTTGATCTTTAGAGCATCGGATTAGTCGTTCACCTCCAGTACCGTCGGCCGCTAGCCTTCCTTTCGGCTTTGAGCTAGCTGCGTCATCACATCTGGGGCTAGTTGAACTTATCCTCTGCTCCTCCCCAGTAGCATTTTGGCCATCTTCCGACCTGGGAGTCCCATCTTCCAATGGCATACCGACATATCTCTGGTTGTACTGGTCCATTTAGTTTTCTTGGCAAGGATACTGGAGTGGTTTGCCATTGCCTTCCCCAGGGATCACGCTTGGTCTGACCTCTCTGCCACAACCGTCCCGTCTTGGGTGGCCCTTCACGGTTTCGCTCATGACAACATTGAGGTGCTCAAGCTCCAGCGCCCCGACAAGGCGGTGATCCTTTGCTGGAGTAATTTGTATTACTTGCATATATAATAAAATAAATTTATATTGCATATATAATAAAATAAATTATAATAAAATATAATTGATGCAATTTGTATTACTTGCATCAATTATATTTTATTATATTTGCAAATACATATATTGTGTTTATACAAAGAACATAGAAAACATTTAAGATTGACTGTAATACAATGATTCAGAATATATACCTGCAGTCATTTGACAAACAAGTTCCCTTCTGTAATCATTGTCTTCCTTCTGTTCAGTTCTATTTGTAAAAAAAATCCTCCATGTTTTTTGTACATGGCAGTAGCTTCATCTGCTAAAGCAAATATAGATGAACTAGGAGATGATTACAGAATGAATCAAAGAAATGAAATGAAAATTATAAGTTGATAGCTTGTTTCTTGTCTCCAGGGAAATCGATTTGCATTACCTATGCCTTATTTTGGTAATATAAATGAAGTTTCATTATCTCTTATAGACACAATTATTGGTAAATTCCTACTTCAAATATTTAGTAATAGTATGTGTACCACAGGGCCCCCTGGTGTTACAGTGGGTTAAACCGCTGAGCTGCTGGACTTGCTGGCCAAAAGGTTAGTGGTTCAAATCTGTGGAGCGGGGTGAGTTCCCGCTTTTAGGCCCAGCTTCTGCCAACCTAGCAGTTCGAAAACATGCAAATGTCAGTAGATCAATAGATACTGCTTTTGCGAGAAGGTAATGGCGTTCCCTGCAGTCATGCCGGCCACATGACATTGGAGGCGTCTGCGGTGAATGCTGACTCTTCCGCTTAGAAATGGAGATAAGTACCACCACCCAGAGCTGGACACGACTAAATGTAATGTTAGGGGAAACCTTTATCTTTACCTATGTGTACCACCTCTGACTACACTCATTATGAACTCTTTAAATTTGTATGTTTACAGGGTGAGATTAGTCCTAAAGGTGGCTATGTTTTGTTGATGTACAGATTATTTGTATTAAGGTCAGTAACACTGCTGAGGAAAGGGCTACCTTGTACTAGAGTGCAAAGTGTCTTTGTGTATTATGTAAACTAATTGTTTTGAACCTCCAAAGGACACCAGATGTTGAACAACAAGAGATAGAGTTTGATACATCTTTATTGGAAGAAAATGAAAATCTTCAGGCTAATGAGATTATGTGGAATAATTTGACAGCTGAAAGTTTGCAAGCTATGTAAGTAATCTAGTGCCCCCCCCCAAGTAATATGGATACTTCTTCTATGACAATAATGCCCAAAGCAAGCACATAAATAATTTCATCTTTATGTAACTGCTATGTAAAATGTGTGAGCTAGTGTGATGTGGTGGTTTGAGTGTTGGACAGGGATCCTAGAGTCCAGGGTTCAAACCCCCGCACAGACATTCAAGCCCAGTAGGCGACTTTGGGCAAGTCACACACTTGCCCCAGTTGAAGGCAAAAAACTCTTTGCTTGTCAAGAAAACTCTGTGATAGATTTTCATTAGAGTTACCATTGCAAAATGTATTTTGTTTTGATTTTTTGGACTTTTTTGTTGGAGTTCTCGTTGGAAAGGAATTCATGAAACAGAATAAAGGACAAACAGATTAGAATAGGTTACTAATGCATTTGGGAAAGAAGGCAATATTATGCAGGTATTGAAAGATATAGAAGGATATGGCAATATCACTCACCCACCCCCAAATATCTAACTTCTGTAGATTTAGTATATAAAGCAAAACAAACCATAATATGATGTGGAGGGACAATTGCATAGTACCTTTTCCAGCAGAATTACTGATAGTCTACAGTGCTCTGTAAGGCACAGACTAGGCATGGGCAAACTTCGGTCCTTCAGGTGTTTTGGACTTCAGCTCCCACAATTCCTAACCGCCTCAAGCCCTTTCCTTTTCCCCCTCAGCCACTGAGACTATTGGGAATTGTGGGAGTTGAAGTCCAAAACACCTGGAGGGCTGAAGTTTGCCCATGCATGGCATAGACCCTTTTTCCCTCTCTTTTTAGAGAATGAAACAAAAGAACAATTCTGAGTTTGTAGAAATTGGACGTTTGAATTACATATTATTAAGTTATATCATTCAGATAATTTCTTTCCATTCAAACTACAGGTTGAAAACAGTAGTAGAAGACTTGATACAGACACAGCAGACACTTTTGAATAAGGAGGAGTTAGTTTTGGAACTGGAAAAGAAGATAGAAGAATCTTCTAAGATATGTGAAAGGAAATCTGAGTGAGTACAATAAAGCTATGCATTTTTAATGTGAATAGATTTGATATCTGTTTTTGTATCTGAAAGAAAGCTGGTTGTTTGGTGTTCCGGGAATTTAGGTGTCAAAGCCAAAACCAGGTTTTTCACAATTTTTGGTTCTCTTTTTCTTCCTTGCTACTTTTTCTCTCTCTCGCAATATTGTGTCAAGTTTTTTGTCCCTTCGTACTGTGTCTTGGGTGCAGACTAAATCTGTACTAAATCCTGTTCTTTCATTTTTTGTACAACAGACTTTGGAAATTTACTATATTATGTTTTTACTAAGCTGCTCCCTCATATCTTGTTCTTCCACTTATTCAAAATTAAGTACGTAGCTGGACCAGGATTTTTTGCATTCCTCTTCTTAAGGGAACCTCACTCAGTCTATGGTTCATGTGTGTAAGGCTGGTTAAACAGCTGCAATAAATCACTGCCGACCGAAAGGTGGCAAGTTCTAAGTCCGAGTTGGGGCTGAGCTCCCGACTGTTAATAGCTGTTTAAAAAAAAGCTGTTAAAAATGCCGAGCTCACTGCCAACCTAAGCAGTTAAAAAACAGCTGCGAGTAGAGGAATTAGGGACTGCATAAAGCGGGGAGGCTAATTTATGACACCATAAAAATGCCGGAGAGCAAGGAGTAAATACTACGATCAAAAAGGCTCAACGTTATAGTGGACGAAGCAACAGCTCTCCCTGTAGCCAAATTGAGCAACTTCCAGGAAGAACTGCTTGAACGGCCTCTATCTATCTGTATGTCTTGTATGTAAAAAAATGGCATTGAATGTTTGCCATGTACATTGTACATTGTACATTGTTATCTGCCCTGAGTCTCCTTCGGGGTGAGAAGGGCGGAATATAAATACTATAAATAAATAAATAAATAAATAAATAAATAAATAAATAAGTTGCCACAGGTACACAGCAGGTACAGTGAAAATGTGTATCAGCTTGCTATTATGGAGGAACCACTTCTGTTCACACCTAAACTGGAAAAATCAAAAATTAGTGATGAGTGAACATTTTCTTTGATTTGATGCAGAGTGTTTTTTTTATTTTGCAGTCTTGGTTTTCTATCAGGAAAAGTGGGTGCTTGGCTGATTAATACTAAGCCCTTTCAGGCTTGGGTGGAAAATCCTTCTGTTACACATATGAACTCCCCAGACTTTGATAACAGGTTAAAGTTCAATTATTAATCATAACAAAAACTAACAGGATTTTTTGTTATTGTTTTCTTTAAAAGGAATTTTGTTTCCATCTTTTTCAGTGTTGTGCTTCTCCTAAGCCAGAAGCAGGCGTTAGAAGAACTGAAGCAAACTGTTCAGCAACTGAGGTGCACTGAAGTTAAGTTTGCCGCACAGAAAGAACTCCTACAGCAAAAAGTACAAGAAAATGATGGGAAGGAGCCCCCACCTGTTGTACATTATGAGGAAGATGCCAGATCAGTCTCTTCTATGGTAAGTCCATGTTTTTTATTCTAGAATAATGATATCAGAGTTGTATCATATGGAGTTGCTTTCCTCTAAGGCCCTTTCTACATTGCCATATAAAATCCAGATAATCAGCTTTGATCTGGATTATATGGCAGTGTCGACTCAAATAATCCAGTTCAAAGCAGATAATATCTTATCTGATTTGATAATCTGGATTATATGTCTGTGTAGAAGGGGCCTCAGACTGAGAGAGTGAGACTTCTTCAAGGGCAGCCAATGAGTTTTTGTAACCGCATTGGAGTTTGAATCCCAATACCTTGTATTCCTAATCCAGCTGCCAAACTACTATATAAGGCTGGCTCTCTCAGAAGCATTCCACCTTTGATTATTACCAGGTATGACCCTAGGTAATTTTCAATGGTAAGCAAACAGTATTTTGGCGCCCCCCCCCCCCTCCCAACCAATCACTGATATATATTTTCTGTTTGTTGTGAGAGTTCTGTGTGCCATATTTGGTTCAATTCCATCATTGGTGGAGTTCAGAATGCTCTTTGATTGTAGGTGAACTATACATCCCAGTAACTACAACTCGCATATGTCAAGGTCTATTTTCCCCCAAAAGCGCCTCAAGAGTGCCTCTGGGCAAAATCAATTATACTGCAAATGCTTACTTTGCGTAATGGTTGATTATTACCTCTGATTATCCAGAGGACAACAAGCTAAGGTTGGATGCACTCATTGGTTTCTGCTCAGGGATGTCTGCCTGGCTGCTAGTAGACTTCTGGTGGATTTTTTTTGTGTGCATAATCTTTCTTTCTTTCTTTCTTTCTTTCTTTCTTTCTTTCTTTCTTTCTTTTTTTTCCCCGATAAATCTATAAAGTGCTGAAAGGCCATATCCATAGAATAGTCTGGCTTTGTTTGCTCTCTTAGCTGTAGACAGAAAAAAAGAATAGTGATCATTAGAGGCCTAACTTGTGTTGTGGGGATTTTCTGGTTGGGTCCCTCACCCACATAGACATGCAGAATTTTAGTGCATGGTGTTTTTTTTTTAAATAAAAGAGATATTTTTAAAATTCTCCAATTTCCTGTATCTTTTTGATACAATTTTCTTGCAATACACTAGATTTAAATTTAGTTTCTTTAAAGAACAACATATTTTTCTTCTTTTAGTCAAACTATTTGAACCATTAACATTATGGGACAAATACCTGAAGTTATGACCCATTCAAATTCATAAATGGCAGGTCTCCACTAATAAATTATCTTAAATAGCCAAATCAGACAGACTGGTTTTGCTTTCTTCTTTCCCAACACTTTTGAACTGTCAAGCTGAGTTTCCTTCCCTGCAGTGTTTTCTTGTGCTTCATTTTGATGTTTATTTCTTTTCTTTCTTCCCTTTGTTTACATTTCCAATGACTTCCCCCAAAATCCTCTTAATTTAAGGAAGAAATCTCTGGTTTTTTCTACTGAGTTGAGCCAGAATCTTTCTCCTTTATATTTAAATAAAATGCCTCCTAGCTTATCCCAGCTTAGAGGAAGCTTGTGCAGAAGCTGTCTGTTCATTTACGGATATATGTGCACATTCATGTTGACTTGAACCATGTGAAAGCTTTGATTCTGAAGGTTGTGACTCTGTGCCAGATATTTCATTGCGTTCTAAGAGATCAAACTGTCTGGAATATTATAATGTATGTTTGAAAAATACCACCCTTTGTAAAATTACATCTTGTGACTTCTTAAAAGCTTACATTTCTTTGTCTGATTTGAATGACTAGAGTATTGATCTTCTATGATATGCTGGAATCCTTAATAAATTAGTTAAAATATCTAGACCCGTAGGCCAAGTTGCATTTCATTTCATCTATATTACTTTTTGTCTGTTCAAAGTGATTTCTGTTTCTTGAGTCCATTATGCTTTAAGCAGCTCTGTGATGCTAGGTCAAAACAAAGTGACTAACCCATGGACTGAACTCCGTATTTGAAGTTTTTTTTGTGGCTGGATAGAATTTCCAGTATTTTACTTTCAAACAAAGTGGGTTTTTTTAACAATTCAACAATCTCCTCTCCCTCCTCATTTCCGTCTTAGTGATAATGCTGTTCCTGCATGGTGATGCAGAGATCTCAGTTTGCTTCTCTGCCTTGCCCCGGATTGCTTGCATGATGATGTTGGCTAAGCTGTAGAGATCCAGGGCTTTTTTTCTGGTCCAGAATCCTTTGGACTTCTGGTTTTCTTTTGGAAGGGGGACCTAATCATTGTAATTGCAGAGTAGATGATGCCACAATTTGCTCTACAAGTGAATCCCTGCTCTTAGTAGGTGCCAGGAGCAGGGTTTTTCAGTGTTAAATCTGCCCCAATTTGGGAGAGGAGTCCATGAGCCCCTGACGTGTCATGTGGTCCAGGGGACCTGTGATTGTTTTCTGTATGATAACTGTAGAGATGTCAAAATTCGTTTTCATTTTCAGACCAACTGATGTTTGGTGAATCTGGGGCAGTTCAATGTGTTTTTATATAAATTGCCTTATTTTAGGAATATATCTTAGGCGAGAATTATGTATGCTGTGGAAAGCATACTCTGCAAATATGTATATGTGGTTTTGTCCATTTTATAAATTTCTAACATCTCTAAACAGCTTTCAATTATTTCTTTCATGAATAGTCAGTAATATCATCTCATATTTCTATGCAATGATTCTTAGTGATTTTAAATCGATTTTCATGGAACAGCAGATGAAATGTTGATTCAGAAGGTTCATTATTTCTTCAATTATGAGTCAAATATCACTTTGCTGCTTTAATGCCAAGCAGATCATTCTTAAATGCTTTGAGCTTAAGTATTTATTCTTATCAATGTACACAGTTTGTTTTCCCGTGATTAAATTCTCTCTTCTAATTCACATTCTAAAAAGGGATGGCTGTTTTCCTAAACAATGACAAAGATGTCATAACATAATAACTAAAGAAAAACTGCATTTATCATCATCTGATCTTATATTACGACACCATTACATGTACTATTCAAAAAGCATTTCTCCAAAGTTTCATCAGGGAAGTCCACCTATCTTTGTTAGTGTATATAACCTTTAAAGCCCCAAGGTTTAAGGTCTAAACGGTTTAGGCCCAGGCTATTAAGTAAACCACATTGCCACATGCAAACCTACTCAGGCACTGTGGTCAGCAGAGGAGACCCTGCTCTCAGTCCCACTCACATCATACGCATGGTTGGTTGGAACGAGAGAGAGGGCCTTCTCCATGACCGCCCCCTGCCTCTGGAACTCCCTCCCTAAAGAGATTAAAACTGCTCCCTCCTTAACCTCCTTCTAAAAGGAGTTAAAAACTTTCTTATGTGCTGAAGCATATAAAGACGAGGAGGCTTTGTATGTTATATGGACTACTCACCCTGGCTACTGGTGGTAGTTAATTTTATAGTTAATTTTATAATTTATAATTTTAAACATATTTCACTGGTCAGACTCCTTTGTTTTCTTGATGGATTACTATGGACATGGAAATGTTACATAATGAGTCTTATTTTTGGTTTATATATGGATCTGCAAGTGTTTTGTGTGGGATGGTTATTTGTTTATGTGCTTTTCTTTTTTTTGTATTAAATGTTTGCTGACTTGTTGTTCACAGTACTGAGTCCCTTTGGGGAGATAGGATGATATATAAATCTATTATTGTTATTATTATTATTATTATTTGGCCACAAGATACCTACTAACCCAAGGAGTGACCATCACTAAAAAAACCCCCAAAAAACAGTGAAAGGGACTTAAAAAACCACAAAATAAATGATACAACGCATGCACAAATGCCCCCCCCCCCCCGCACACAAAGGAATACCAATGCACCAACCTTCCATGACAAGCTGGCAGTCCCTGTGGGCACCGAGTGAGGCCAGGCCGTGGAGTCAGGCTGCAGCTCGGACACACATTGTAGAACGGATGCAGTTTGGCCCCAGGTTTAACTCTGGAGGGGTGGCCAAGGCAGCTGCCAGGAAGAGGGCAGCAATGGGACACACAGCAGCCAAGGACAGCCCGAAACTCCCAATGCGAGGGGCGAAGCAATAAAAAAATATATTTAAAAAAGAGAGGGGGGGGGGGAGTCCGGGTGTGAGGTCCAGAGTCCAGGTTTTCCAGCCACATTTAGCTGGGGAGCTGGAGTGGGCTGGTGGGAAGGGTTTGCTCTAAATGAATGGAAAACTTCGGAGATTTGTTTTCTTTGTGACACAGATTTATAGAATCAGTTTGCCAGTAGATGGAGCTCATTGCTAGTAGAATAAAAAGTATTGATTAATTTGCAACATTGTTTACAGAACATTTTTTTGTATGTGAGGCAAGAGAAACTATTTATAAAATTAATATTTTCCTTTTTGTAACACTGCTTAAATCTAACAGTGAGTAGACAGAGGTTTTAAATGGATCCGTATGTTTTTGCTAGCATCGTAAAGCCCCCAAGCATTGGGAATTGATAGTTATTGCCTGTTTTTTGCAGATCACTCAAATGAAAACACATGTTATTATCTGTTTGTATTAATTATAGGGCAGTTTGTGTTCTTCGTTCAAGAAATTAATTATTGTCAAAATGGGAAGACTAAGGTGCTGTGGAATTAATGCAGTTTGATGCCACTTTAACTTCCATGGTTAAGGCCCCACCTGCACTTTACAATTTGATATCATTTCAAACCAGTAGTGAAGAAAGTGGTTTTGCTGTGCAAATTATTACATAGGAAATATTGGAACTTGTTTGAGACCTGGATGGTGATTGCACAAACCAGAGAGGACTGATATATGTGAAGGACTTCCTTTTGCATGCTTTTGTGGGTGTTCGTTGTTTGACCTCCACAGTTTGACGCTAGCTTTGAACTACATTAAATGGTCAGTGTAGATGGGGCCTCACATGCCATTGAGATCAGTTTGTCAAGGTGATGTTCTTGGAGCAATTACAACCTTGGTTACCACACTGTTATATTAGTACTTTAATACTATTTCTAGTTTTGGCAAAGGTACTCTTTTAGGCTTGG